TTTTCTTATGTTGTCCGTTCTTTCGTATTTGAGTTGGGGTGAAAAAAAGCATTGGATTTTGGATTACAGTTCTGTCTTAATTTTGTCAGTTTCCTGCTTAGCATCAGAAGTTGTAGATACAGGGTTGCAAAAATCTAATTTTTGTTTGGTTAATTAGTGATAATACCATAATAACAAATATTACGTTGTGTATTGGTAAGGCTTGGTTTTTTGAAAAGGCACATTTTCACTGGTTATAGATTTCATAGTCATATAGCAAATACGGCTTTACATTTGAGCATAATCAGATAATGAGGTGGTTAATAGAAACCAACAGGTCATAGATCACGAAAATTTAGTACAACAAAATGTAATTAACACTGTAGCATGAATGCAGTTGGGTGGAGGGCTGGTGCCTGTGTAAACAGTAACAGTTCTAAGTGAGATGTGAAAATGCTGTTTATTAGCACATGCCAATTGATAGAATGCTGGAAAAATCCGATTTTACAGTATATTTTAAATAGGGTTTTCTATGCTTGGGGCTGACTGTTGGTTTATAGCCTTTTTTTTTCCTTTCCTTTTAGAATATGGTTTCTAGTTTTAGGGTTTCTGAACTACAAGTGTTACTAGGCTTTGCCGGACGGAATAAAAGTGGACGCAAGCATGACCTCCTGATGAGGGCGTTGCATTTATTGAAGAGCGGCTGCAGCCCTGCGGTTCAGATTAAAATCCGAGAACTGTACAGACGCCGATACCCTCGGACTCTTGAAGGCCTTTCTGATTTATCCACAATCAAATCATCGGTTTTCAGTTTGGATGGTAGCTCCTCACCTGTAGAGCCTGACTTGGCCGTGGCTGGGATCCACTCGTTGCCTTCCACTTCAGTTACACCTCACTCGCCATCCTCTCCTGTTGGTTCTGTGCTGCTTCAAGACACTAAACCCACGTTTGAGATGCAGCAGCCGTCTCCCCCAATCCCTCCTGTCCATCCTGATGTGCAGTTAAAAAACTTGCCCTTTTATGATGTCCTTGATGTCCTCATCAAGCCCACGAGTTTAGGTAAGTGGGAGAGAAATCAGGTTTCTTCCAGACAAGAGCAGATAAAGCAAGAGGCCTTCAACTGTTGAATGATTTGCTGTTAATATTGTAAAAGTGAGGCATTAAAATGCCAAATGTTTAAATGTAGAGATAAAAATATTGGCAGCCGCGACAAAAATCTCATATAAAACTGTTAATTTGTCGATCAAGCTTTCTTCTTGCAACTTAGAACTCAGGTTGTGTGTCTAAGAATAGACAGCAATCTTATTTATTGCCTGTGATTCCACCTTTTGATATTTTTACAAAGAGAGTTAGTTTCTGTTTAACCTCACTTTTTAAACAATTTTCTTAAGAGATAAACCTTTTATACTTAATTTTTTTCTAAAATGGCAGAGTTTGATACAGGTTTTTAGCTTTTTGTTTAATAGCCATTGGCTGCTTAGAAAATTTAATACATTTTATCGTAATATTAAATGTTATTAACATGTGTTACGTGTGACTTGAAGGAATTTTTGCCGAGGTTGATGACTTCTGTGTTGTAATGCCATAATTTCTTACTGCCTAGTGAAATTATTTACAGAGGTATTCGAATTTATTCATAAAATAAACTGTTGGGGAAATAGTACTTCATAGTTAGTTTGGGAGATTATTTTCCTTTCCATTTTAGGAAAAAGCCTTTTTGTTTCAGTTCATTTGAAAACTCTAATGTGCTTTTTTCATTTTGTATAGAATTGTACTTGTACATCTTGGTTGAGCCAGAAGGAAGTTTTGAGGGACAGGGCTGGTTAATGGGGTCAGTATGGCCTGGCGGTGCAGACCAAGGAGGCCGTGCCTTTCCCAGGCCCTCCCTACTTGCTTTAATTGTTTTTGTTTAGCAAAACTGAGCCATGCAGGTAGACTAATCATTTATCCATTCATGACATTCATTCTGAAATAAGGATTCTGTGTTGGTTCACATTTTATTATTTGTACAAAGTCCTGTGAGTGGAATTATTGCATCAAAGAGTAAGGACTTTTGATAACATATTGCTAAATTAGTTTCCAGAATAGCTGTGCCAATTCGAATTTCACAAAGTGAAAGAATGTCTCTCATGGCACTTTTACTTCCTGTCTTTATTAATTTTTGCACTTTGGATAGATGGAAGTTTGTATCTTGTTTAGATTTTTCATTTTTTAAATAAATAACAGGAACAAACCTTTTAAACATTTATTGCCCAGCTGTTTTTCTTTTATGATTTTACTTTAATTTTTAACCTTTTTTTTAATGGTTTCATTTATCTGGTTAAAATGTTTCCATAATTTTTTTATTTCTCCCTTTTTCATGCTTTTTGGTTTATACCAATGTACAGCATCATGGCTCATTCACTTGTTTCTTTCTCAGAAACTATGGCCAATTTATTTCTTTGTATGAGTTGTGAGAAAGATTGAGACCAGTAATACGCTTAAATGACCCTACCTCATGGGACCCCTCAGGAAAGTGGCTAAGGCGGAACTGAGAAGGTCACAGTGGAAGGTGTTTCAGAGCCATGGCTGGTGGCCTGGAAGGAAGATGCCTGGAGATGAGAAAAGACGCAGCAACACGTCTTCTCTGCTCCTTAGCATCGGTGGTGCGCCAAGCAGTGAGCTCTGAAGAGTCTTTGTGCTTTTCTTTCCATACTTTCCTTTGTTCAGAAACAGAAGTAGGAATTTGCTTACTTTTCTGTGTTCTTCATAGAGTTTCTCTTTCATTATCCTCACTCAATAAGGTTAAAAGGAAAAGTAGTAAGCTTTTTAGAAGTTTACTGAAATAAAACATTTGTATCTCATTTGATTTAGATAAAGTAACGCCGGAGGCATTTTGTGTTGAAGAGTGGCTAAGAAAAACCTGCCTTTTGCTCACAGTTTAAATTAGAATGTAAGAAATACGTGTAACTTCAGGCCTTATAAAATAGCTTTTTGCTCCTGAGCTAAAAAATTGTTGATTCATGTAATTTCAGGAGTCCCACCTGTCATTATTTTTATAAACTTTAAAAACTGATTCTTGTTTCAAAGCAAGGTTTAAGCATTTCCTCATCCTGCCTTCCCTAAAAAGAAAAAGAATTTTCTGAGTGTACGTAGTCTTATTATGTCAGATTGATAACACTGATCTAAGAAAGGCTGTTTCAGACTTTGTAAAGTAGAAAGTTAAAAAATCAGCGTAATACCTTACAGTCAGTCAAATAAAAGTAGAAAAATTTAATCCTTTCTAGTAATGACCTTTAGCTGAAAATGTTTAGTGTCATAATATCTAAAGCAATATAATGACATTCAGAATTTGCCTTCATTTTTAATAATTTGGTTATATATGTCGAAAATACTTGGAAAAATAAAAATTCTGGATAAATTCATTTATTTGGAACACTGTTATGGAGAAACCTATTTACTTATGGGAAGTGAGAATTAGAAATCCTCAGGAATTGAAGGAGATACCAAATCCTTATTTCAACATATTCTTGACATTTGTGGGCCAGTCTGTGTATTCTTGATTTTATATACAGTTCTTAGATGACTTTTATTTCTAAGCCATCAACATACTGTTGAGCAGGAATTAAGTAACAACACGGGAGAGACTGGAAGAGCCCTGGTAGGAAAAAACAGAAACAAAGTCAAAAAATGTCATCCCTAGACCTCTCAGTAATAATGAAACCTACAGCCCTTCAGTGCTGAGGGAATCACTGTTCAGCAAGACACATGCACTGATGCTAAATAAAACCCCCAAACAACCACCAGGAGTAGCTTTTATTTAAGAAGATACATTACTATATAGTTTTGCAGTTTGGTATTACTTCTATTCAAATAGTTTAAATAAAGATATTTTAGCATTTAAAATGACAAACTGTGGCATCTAGAAAACAAGAATGTGCACAGTGATACTGAGGTTCTGTGTAGCCGAGGTTTTTACTGTAGCAAGTGGATAATCCCTTAATCTGAAAGCAAGCTAACAAAAATCTCTTTGCTCGTCCCTTAAATAGCTATTCTAACTTGCTTTCACAGGTAGTATTTTTATCTTCTTTTCAATTTTCTGTTTTTCTTCTTTAAGATAATTTTTGATGAAATCTTTTCTATTTTAAAAGTTTATCTGTATTCAATCTACCTCAAAAATATATATATAAAATAAAAATATAAAAGTATATAAAGAATATCCATGAATGAACACCTGTGAAACCACTACCCAGTTTTTATAAGAAGGCACATTGCCAGTATCTTTTTTTTTTTTTTTGGCCAGTATGTTTGACACCGTCTCCTTGCCTTTTCCTATCATTATTCTGGACTTTGAATTTCTTTTTTACCGTATATGTATAGGAAAAGTCATGTTTAATTGGCTTACTTTTGCGATGGCACACTGTATACTGTGTTCTTCTGCGGCTGGCTCTTTTTTGTTCACCGTGTTTAGAAGCATCTCTATGTTGCTATGTCTGTTTGGTATTTTGGGAAATACCTTCAGGGTATTATGAGCCTTTGATTCCTTAAAATATCTTCACAGTGTTTTTCAGATTACAGAAGTAATTTTTGCTAATAGTTGAAAATTCAAACATAAGAAATAGAACAGAAAGGGAAAGTCCCTCATAACCTCAGTTACCACTCAGCTAGAGTCTTATCGGTAATCGTTTCTCTGCATGTTACGTCATCTTCTTTCTCTTCCCCTTCATTAAAAAAGCCTCTCCACCTGCAGAGCCACTGTGCCTCGTTTCTGGTGGAGGGAGAAGGGTGTGATTCTACTTGTATCCACTGTGCATAGAGCCCGCAATGACCATCTACCGTAACAGAATTTTCTTGGAAATGTATTATAGATCTGTAGATTATAGTAGATCTGTTATTTTGTACATGTACCATAACTGAACCAGTATTCTGTTGATGTATATTTTCAGTGGTTTTCAATGTTCATTGTTTATTCAGAAGTATTTTAGTTATACCTTGTCTCAGGCACTATTCTTGCAGTCTTACAGACACTGCTTCTGTGACGATTCTTGCATATGTGTTTCTGAATACTTAACATGCATGTTTATGAGGTATAAATGCCTAGATGTGAATTTGTTGGGTTAAGTAGTATGAGTATTTAATATTTTGATATTCAACTTTTGTAGGGAAATTTGGCAGTTGCTTCAAAAGCATGGTGCCAATTTGTACTTGCAGTAGCATCTGAGTGTTATTATTATTTTCCCTATACGTCATCCGCATTTTATTACTGGTTTTTTTTCCCTATACGTCATCCGCATTTTATTACTGGTTTTTTGATCTTTGCTAATCTGGTAGGTGAAAAATTAATGAGAGTCAACATCTTTTCATATTCCTAAATTCTTGAATGTTAGAAAGTACTCATTAAGCCTCTGGATACAGGTTTAAAATGATATGCATATTAATGTAAAGCCATTGAAATAGAATCTCACTTCTGAAGAAGTTGGATTAATTCAGACACTGTGTGTTTCATTTCTCTTAACTCAGTTAACAAGTATGTGGTGAGTATTTAATTTGGATATCTTCATGGAAACTAACTGTGGAGAAGTCGGAAGAGCGAGATGGGCTTTAGGAAGTCTGCTGTCTAGTTGGGGAGATAATGTTCACATGAGAGAAGAGTAGCAAGCAGTATATGCCTGTATGGTGAATCCCTGTAACTTGGGAACTGGAAGCTTAGATACCGCATTGGCCTGATAAATGCGGGAGATAACAGACTTCTTGGAGTAGAAGTGAGACTAGAGGGAACTTTGAAGGATGAATGTGCCCGCTTTGAGTTGATGGAGTTTATAGGAGAATAAACGTCAAGAGAGGGGAGAACTGTTAAGTAGTCACAAGAGTAGATATAAAAATGGCACAATTGTGAGACCAGACAGTGAAGAAACTTGCTGTGAATAGAGTAAGACTTGGGGAGACATTGGAAATGGATGTTTGCTAGGAAAGGGGTGAAACCACTGTTATGGAGGCTCTTATAGATAAAGGAGTTTTAGACTTGGTTCATTCAGAGATAAGACACTGCTCAGCATTTTTGATCAGAGGAGTAGTGATGAAATTGATGCTAAGGATGACCAGCTCCACACTTGTGTTCTGACAGGAGACCGGCCAACAGGCAGGTTGCTCCTTCATTTGTGCGAAGTAATAATAGGTTTTAAATAAGACAGTGGTAATGAAAATGGAGAGGAAGCAGCGATAAGAAAAATTTTAAAAACAGGACTTAATGACTTACTGGATACAGGGGATGAGGATGACGACTGAGTTAAAGGAAATGAATGATTTCTAGTGATGGAACAGTTGGTAACGTTCTCCTCTTTCTTAATTCTGAACCGAGGCCACTGTTTACAAGAAGCATGGAACCTCAGTGTTCTGCCTCCCCCAAATGGTCTTTGCAGCTGTTATAAGGAAAGAAGTATTTAGTATTATACATCACTGGTGATTATTAATATGGTGATTATTTCTATATAGAAAAAAATTCAGATGATTCAAGTTTTCTATATTCTGTTTAGATCTCACAAAATTAGAAAAAATTTGGTGTGTGTATGGGAGTATTATCATTTTTAAAAGCTTCACATAAAGCAGTGTTCAGTGATAAGTGTAAACAATTGAATATTGAAATATGTGTATGTACGTATTCAGTCAAGGTTCTATTGAAAGCATTCATTGTTCTAATGACTACTAGAACATCATTAAGTAATGCATCAGTATAATCTGTTAAAGTTCTTTGAGAAGAAAATACATTTCAGTTTTAAATTTTCTCTTATGTGTATGCTCTGTGTAATTAAGTATTGAAAACAAAACACAACAAAGAAAGGAACAAAACAAAACAAACAAAATAAATCTGAGTTGTGGATAGAATTCTCCTGAGGGGAGTTTGACTTCTTTAGGTTTTTCGTTAGATGATACTATAGTCAAAGATGAAATGTAATTTTGAAGAGTTGTGTTATACTTTGACTGTAATTAGTGTGTGAGAATAAAGAATGATAAATGCTTAAAATTGGACCTGATTTAGAGTGACTTTACTTCATAATTCTAAGATAAATGTAGCTTAGTACTTTATTTTGGCATATTTTAACCATAAAAATTTCAGAATTTGGCAGACTCTGACCAGAAATGCCTGGTTACTACATGTTCTTATGTCCTTGGATTTGTTATTGAAATATTATCTTTCTTTTTTCTCTCCTCCCCAGTTCAAAGCAGTATTCAGCGCTTTCAGGAGAAGTTTTTTATTTTTGCTCTGACACCTCAGCAAGTTAGAGAGATATGCATATCCAGGTAAGAGGAATGTTTGGGATATCTTTCTCCAGGGTGTTGGTGTGTTAGTTTGTTGGGGCTGCCAAAGTGAAGTACCCCACGCTGGGTGGCTTAAACAACAGAAATTAATTTTCTCAGATTTCAGGAGGCTTAGAGTTTAAGACTAAGGTGTTGACAGATTTGGTTTCTTCTGAGGCCTCTCTCCTCGGCTTGCAGAAGGCCGCCACCTTGCTGTGTGTGCTCCTGTGGCCCTCCCTCTGCGTTTCTGAGCTTTCCTGGTGTCTCTTCCTCTTCTTCCAAGGACATCAGGCGAAGTGGGTTAAGGCTTCATCCTTACAACCTCTTTTAATCGTTATTACCTTTTCAAAGTCCCCATCTCCACAGCAGTCACCTTGGGGGTTAGGGCTTCAGCATAGGAATTCTGCGGGGGACATGATTCAGTCCGTAACAGTTGGACCATTTCTCCTCAAGCAAGCATAGTATACTTTGACTAAGATTAGCCACATATTTAATAAATACTCTGTTAGAAAAAAAAACTTCTAGATTTTGAATAAAACCCTTTTTGAATTACTTTTTGTCACATTTGGCATAACTTTTTTTAAATGAAAATTTTCTTCTAAATATAGCAACATAAAGAACTTGTGATAACAGCTCAAAGATAAGATTATCGTAAACTTTATCATCCAAACGGGCATTTCTAGAGTGAAAGTGGACATTATGAATAATTTTTCTGGGATAAGAACATAAACTGGGACCATCCTGAGCTGTATGGTCACTTGGACCAAAAAATTGGCAGAAATCTGAAAACAGTTATGAAAAGTACTCTTAACTTCGCTGTTTCAAAAAATAGGATAAACTTAAAGTAGACACATTTATAAAGAGCAGATGAACCAAGAAATGTAAGAGGAAAGAAAAGGAAATCTGTAGTATACACTTTTCCAGTTAAAAAATAGTCATCTTTAGTGTTAGTAATATATTATTTATGTGACTTTTAAAAATTACATTCTTAAAGATTTAGATAAGAAAGCCAAACCTCCTGGAGGTTAAATGATTTTCTGAGATTGTGGAGTTAAAAGTAGAACGAAGAGTTGAACAAAGAGTTGAGTATTTTTTCAAAAATAAGCATTCTGTGGTTAAGTTTTAGAAATTCAGTATTCACTATAATTACATAAGTTCTTAAAGCTGAGCTTTTCAGAGTCCTTGATATGTTACTGTGCATTGTCAGTTCTTCCAAGATGCTGGATCCAAATTAATGGGCCTCACATCTCTGGCATCTTGAAGATACTCTGTTATGTGGAAGAGTATGGGACACAGCTTTAGATTTCTTTCACTAATCACATTTGTTTTACTCATATATATATGAGTGAAATATATGTGTGTGTGTGTGTGTGTATATATATATATATATGGTATATCCAGTATGGGGGGTGTGTGTGTGTGTATATGTGTATACACACACACTAATTTATATAGGGAGAGAGGGAGAGAAGGCTCTGAACAAAACCTCAAAATAATTTTATAATTTGACCTGGTAAAGTTTGAGCTCCTAAAAAGTAGTGCATAGATAGGCTGGTTCTTCCACAAACAGGAAAAAGACAAAGTGTTGAAAAATAAGATTAAAAGGAAGAAAAAAGAAACCTACTAAGGATTAGTCCAAAAGAGACTCAGTCTAAATAATAAAAGTTTCAGAAAAAGTAGAAAATTTAGGGGAGGAAATTATCAAATGTAACTTGATGTAGTTCACATCCACCAGCGCAAGGCATTGCTAGAAGTTTTTATAAATTGGAAGTAATTTCCATCTTGGGGACAGTAATAAACCAACTAACAAACAAATAGAATAAATTAAAAATTATATATTGTATCTAAAACCATATCATTATTCATCTTTGTTATTCCTTGATGATCCCTTGCTTGAGAATATTTACTAGGTATTTGTTAAGTACAAAGCACTTACTAAAAAAACTTTACTTTGAAGGTTTATAGAAGAGTTGTAAAAATAGTTAATCTCTTCAGCTAGCTTCCTTTAATATTAATATTTTGCTTAATTGTAAATGCAGTTATCAAAATCACAAAATTAACTTTGGTGTAATGCTATTAACTAAGCTACAGACCTTATTCAGATTTCACGAGGTTTTCTACTAATTAATTTCTGTTCCTGGGTCCAATCCAAGATCCCAAATCACATTTCATAGTTATGTCACTTTAATCTCTTATAGTCTGTGCTGGTTTCTTAGTTTTTCCTTGTCTTTCATAACTTCTGACACTTTTGTAGAGTACTGGTCAGGTGTTTTGTAGAATGTTCCTTGATTTGGGTTTGTCTGTTGTTTCCTTATGATTAGATTGGGTTTATGCGTTTTTGGCAAGAAGACCTCAAGTTATACGCACTTCTCTGTGTATCATATCGGGAGCTACATCATAGTGATACATCTTATTTTTGGTGATGTTAATCTCAATCACTTGGGTAAGGTACTGTCCACCAGGTTTCCGCACTGTAAAGTTGCTGTTTTTTCCTTTATTATTAATAAATATCTTGGGGAAGATACTTTGAGATTGGGCACATACTCTTTGTATCTCTAAATTTTTGCCCACCATTTTAGTGTTCACTCATGGATCTTGCCTTCAGTGATTACTTCATCATCAACACTCTTGTGTTCCAGTGGTGTGATTTTCTGTTTTTATTCTTTTGCACATTGGAGGTACTGTAAGGAAGAGCTGTCCCTTTCTCCCCATTTATTTATTCAATTATTTGCTTGTATCTGCGTGGGCCCTTGAGTGCAGTGGGCTATAATCCAGTGCTATAGTAATTTGTATTGTTGCTCAAACTTCCACCTTGGAACATGGGCCATTCTTTCAGGTTGGCTCCTGTGCCCTTCTGATATGTCTCCACCTGTTTCTGAGCGTGCCCATACTGCTCCAGGCTCATCTTGTAATTTCTCTGCCCTTGTTCTGGAATGGATAGCTTCTCCAAGGAGCTCTGGTTCTGCTCTTCGAGTACTTCCTACCACTTACTTTGGGAAAAAAAGTGGTTCGCTTGACTCTCTTGGCATATTACACATTCCAGATTGGTGAGCATGCTTCTTGTGATACCTTCCTACTTCTCTCCCTGTGGTTCTCAGACTTTGCTGCATATAGAATCAACTGGGGAGCTTTTAAGAATCCACAAACCCAGAATTCATTCATACCATTAAATTAGAGTCTCTGAGGATGGAACCAGTAATAGTTTTAAAAGCTCCGTAGGTCTTCCCAGTGTGCAGCAAATTTGAAAACCACTGCTGTGTATCCAGCTCCTCCCCTTTGCCTGTAATGGTGAAAAGGTCTAAACCAGAAGCTTGAATACATTCAGCTTTGGGTGGTTTTGTTCTTTCTGTTACATCTTGTGAAGACTGATCAGTGAGTTCCGCTCTGTTCTTGGCTGTAGCAGTACTCCTTCCATGGGGTACCACTGCCTCCCTAATCACGTGCGCTCATTTTCTCACAGTGACTTCTCTTACACGTTACTGGAATCTGTGTGAATCTCTTCTCACTGCCCTGTGGTGGTATCCGTGAATGTGCTTTGTCTTTTTTTATATTGATGACGGCAGAATCACCAACACTTCCCTCTAAATTCCTTTCTCACTGCCTCTACATAGATGACCCCCAAGCACATCAAACGGCACATCCAGAATGAACTTGCCTTCCTCCCAGACCTGCTTGTTTGTCTTTGTACTTTAATTTATTCATTTAGTCTCACAACATGTATTTATTTACTATCTGCTGTGGTCTAGACAATGTTCCAGGCATCCTGGGGTGCAGAGTTGATAAATAAACTGGCTTCAAGGAGATTTTTGCTTAGTATATTTCCTCCTGTTGCCTGTTTCACTAACGGCGTGGAACCTGCCTGGGCAGAGGCTTCTTTGTGTTACCCCACACTTCATCTGCCACATCCCGTCAGTTTGCTGCACTCCATGGATGATGCTTCTGTGTCTCTTTCAAGATTTAAAACTTGACTCAGCTCAACCTTTGAGGGAGCTGGCATGGTCTTTGGAGTAATACTAATAGGATTCTGAATTCTGACTCAACCACTGAGGTCTGTGTGCCCCTGGGTAAGTTACTAAAGCCTGTTGAATCTTACTTGCGCAGTGTGTGAAGTTGGAAAATCATCACCGCCTCACTCAGCGGTCGGGGATTGAATGCCATACCTGGCTCTGCCTCCTCTTTTCCTGGTGAGCAGCATCGCCGTCTGGCCAGCTGCACCTTTCCAAAATCTGGGCACCATCCTAGATGCCCTTCTCCCCTTATCCTCCCTTTCTGTATCTAGTGACCCATTGAGTCCTGTCAGTTTTTAAATATCTCTAAATATCAATTAGTAAATTTATGTTTAAATAACTTTCAAGCCCTCATCTTTTGCCTATACAATTGTAGTAGTCTCGTAACTCTCCCAGCTGTCCAAGTGATCTTTCTAAAGCCCATTCAGTTTTTTCTCTCTTGTGCTCGAAAATCCTGTAGTGATACCCCGTGAAGTCTGCACTCCGTTGCCTGGCAGATCTCTTCAGCA